TGTCAAATAAAATAAATAAATCTTAAAAGAGAAAGAAATAAAGGCCTAGTTCATTAAGGACTATTAATGCAGTATCCTAACAAAATGTTATCAATGAAACTTTAACAATACATTAATTGATTCATAAACTGTAACCAGATGTTTACTGAGAGGACATTTAATGATATAATTGATCACCTGTATGGATCTAGTAAGAGTCCTCTAGATGGATATAATCTGCTTCTGATTCTGAAAGAAGTATTGGTCAAAATTCAGTGCATGCTGTTTGTCAGGGAATAACAAAAACAGAACCGATACACAAAAAAATAATTGACATTTTCTTAATATTGATAGCATATACCTAAACATAGCAAATCAACCTCTGCTGCCAAAAACCTGCAACAATGCTCAGTAGAAAACAACTAGACCTTTCCCTGTAGTATCTCATATGGTATTACAGACAAAGGAATTACATGTATACGTAAACACTGCAAAAGGGGCACCACTAGCACTGTTTGCACACATTATCAGCATGTTGCCCCCAAATCTAAGAAAATTAACTAAAAGCTACTAGAAACATAATGATGTTTAGGAATGCAGCAAATAATCAGTTGACAGAAATCGAAGAGGAGCCAATAAAGCAGAGGATGAGCTGGGACTGGTGTTGTGGTGCTACGAGTTGAGCTGCTGCCTGCCATGCCAGCAGTCCATGAGTGCTAGTTTGAGACCAGGCTGCTAATGTACCTGAGAAAGCAGCAGAAGACAACCAAGTATTTGGGTCTTGGTAACCATGTGGGAGACCCAGATGGAGCTTTTGGCTCCTGACTCCATTGTAACAATTTGGAGCATGAATTAGAGGATGGAATGCCTCTCTAACTCAGCTTTTAAAACAAATCTTAAAAAAAGATAATAACAACCAATACCAAAATGGCATGCTCCATGGATCAGATAATGCTAACATGTATCAATCCTTATTATTTTCACCACTGCTTTGTGAGGCATATGTCATTATTATATCCACTTAGAAATAAGGAATGGACAGGCATTTGGCATAGTGGTTAAGTTTCCAGCTGAGATGCCCACAACCCACATTTTACGGCGTTAAGCCCTAGCTCCTCTGCTCCTCAAAGAGCTTTGCTAATGGGTGTCTGAGGAAGCACGAAGTGATGGCTCCAGTATTGGGGGCCCTCTCACCCAAATGGAAGCACCTGATGGAGTTCTGGGCCAAGGTTGCTGTGAATATTTGGGAAGAGAAGTAAGAGAAGTAGCCAATGGAATCCATCTTTCTCTGTCCATTATTCTATCTTTTTGTTTTTCAAACATAATGGAAATTGAAAAAAATTTTAAAATGGGGAAATGAAATCGCAAAGAACTAAAATAAGTCTTTCATATTCACACCTAGAGAAGAGTTTTAACCCAGGTGTCCCAGCTGCAGAAGCCTTATTTTCTATTAGGTCATTTTGGTTCCTGATATATGAGAGGGATCCTGGGGACCATCTACAGGGATGGCAACAACAACAAAAATTCCATATAAGTTATGCAAAAATGTGCAAGACAATTTTTTTCTGCTACTTACAGTAAATTTGCTATCTGTACCTCTTAAAGAAAGATTTATTTATTTTTATTGAAAAATAAAATTTGGGCCCATCTGCGAGGGGGGAAGCTGGGTTCGTGAGCACCAGAGGCAGGGAATTTGGTGGAACTAGGGTCACCTGGCCCAGGTCCCGGGACTCACCTGCAAGAATATGCTTTCATCAGTGAAAAGGACAGAGCCTTGGACACAGACCCAGATGCACTTGGAGAATTTGGTAACCCATTCGATACCATAACAGAGGAAGGAGGACAGAGCAAATTGGATATCTACCAGCCAAATCATGACTGCAATAATCTGAGTGAATGGAGGCTTGAGGTTAACTGTCAGCCAATGGACATTGGGAGGGCTGCATCATCCTTGCATTGGTGAAATCAACAGCATTTCAGAACCACTTGGGCAGAACGCTTGGAACATGCAGACACTGGGACACTGAGTTGATATTGGGTGGCAGTTCCCCATCTCTGGATGCTGGGACATTTGAAAAGCTGGGTGTGGCTTCTCCCTTGTTTCCCCTTTCCTTCAGAAACAAGAAGAAATAGCAAATTGGAATTTATGATTTCACCCCCTTATCCCTAACCCTCGATTCTTCCCACCCTGATCAATCGTAATTAGCATGAAAAAAAGATTTATATATATTTTTTGGAAAGGCAGATTATACAGAGAGGAGAGACAGAAAGATCTTCCATCCACTGGTTCACTCTCTATGTGACTTGCAACAGCCAGAAGCGAGCTGATCCAAAGCCAGAAGTGAGGAGCTTCTTTTAGGTCTCCCACACGGGTGCAGGATCCCAAGGTTTTGGGCCGTCCTCTACTGCCTTCCAAGGCCACAAGCAGGGAGCTGGATGGGGAGTGGAGCATCTGAGACACGAACCAGCAGCAATGTGGGATCCCAGCCAATGCAAGGTAAGGATTTAGTCACAATGCTATCACACAGGGCCCTAACTGTACCTTTTTATCCAGAAAGATTACATGTCGATAAGATGAAAAACTTCTGGCTGCAAAGTCTTAGGAATGTTAGATAAAACAAGAGGCCTTTAAAAGCCCCTACTAATCTCACAAGAAATAAACAAATATCAGAATCAAAGGAGAAATGGAGAAGCAGAGTGACAGGTACTGAGTGAGCTGATGCTCTGCTATCAGAGTTCAGTTACTCAGCTGCTCAGAATTCAGCATCTGTGAAGGGAGAGGAAGCAAGACCTTGGATGAGCATGGCAGGAAGTTGCAACAGTGAAAGAGTGAACAGCAAACTAAAAATCTGCCCAGTAAGAGAGAAGGATGATAAATGACTGGGCCCTTCATGGAAACATAAGTCTCCCCTAAGAAATAAAATTCCTGGACTTGTGCCTCAAACATTTGAGTCAATATTTTCAATAAAAGGGAGAGTCTAGAAACTACAGATCCCCAAATTATAAAGCAGAGTAGTGCTGGCAATGGCACTGGTGTAAGAGTTGTCAAATTTAGCAACTAGAAATACAAGGCATGAGTAATTTTGAGTATATCTCAAAAGCTGCATGACATATACCAAAATGTATCTGTTGCTCTTCTGAAATTGGAGTCTGGCTAGGTTCCTATATTGTATTTGGCAGCTCTACCTTAGGTACCTCACAGACGCGAATGTCAAACTGCTATGAAAGAGAAATGAGTCCTGCTAGGGAGGGCTCGGATCAACCATTAACGCACACGGAGAACAAAGCTGTCATGTACAAGTTTCACTAGAATCATCAAACAGGATAGAGCGTCAGGACCTTCTGATCATTTCTTAAAAAGATTTTATTTATGTCTCAAAAAGACATCATTGGGAGAGATAGAGAGAATCTCAGCTGTTGGCTCACTACCCAGATGGCTGCAAGATGGCTGGGTCAGTTAAGCCACAAGCCAGGAACTCCAGCCGTGTCTCCCATACGAGTGGCAGGGCACAAGCGTTGGTGCCATCTGGGGCTGCTTTTTGAGGTGTTCTAGCAAGATGAAGGATCAGAAGCAGAACAGCCAGGACTCAGATTGGTGTTCAAATGAGATGCTAATGTCAGTCTCACTGACAGCAGTGTAACACGCTGTGCCACAATGCCAGCCCCCTGACCACTTTTTTTTCTAATTGTGAAAGGCAGAGTTACAGCAAGAAACAGAGTGAACTTCCATATGCTGGTATACTTCCCAAGTGGCCACAATGCTCCAATCTTAAACCAGGAATCAGGAGCATCTTCTGGGTCTCCCACTTGGGTGCAAGGGCCCAAGCACTTGGGCCGTCCTCCACTGCTTTTCAGGCACATTAGCAGGAAACTATCAAAAATTGAGCAACCAGGACTCAAACTGGTGCCCACATGGGAGACTAGCACTTCAGTCGGTGGTTTTACCTGCTATGCCACTGTGCTGGTCCATGTCTCTGATCAGTTTTTAAGCAAACAATTTTTAAATTTTATTTTTGTTTACATAGTTGTTAGGGATGCATGGCAATGTGAGTCTCTGATTAGGGTGAAGAGGTTCAGGCATGGAGGAAGGTGGGTACAATAAATGTTTCTGTTTTTTCTTTTTGTTCTCCTAGTCTGCTAGGGGCAGGAGAGGGGAGGGGACCACTCCTTGCTGTAAAACCACATTCACCTAACATGGTGTCCAGTGAGGGCAAGCCTGCTGATCTACTTCCAAGCCTTGCTTCTACATTTCTTCCCTCATTCATCTGCACAAAATTCCACAAAATTCATTCTACAGCCCCTCACACACATGGCCTACACACAGATAGATACCTTGCTACCAAGCATAACTAATCAAGGATTTCTCTCCTTTTTTTTTTTTTTTAACCACATCAGAGTCTGGAACCATGACCCAACTCCAACCCCAGGCTCTTTTCTTCACTGTCTTCAGATAGTTGAATGGACTGGGAATAGTTCCAGTTATCTCAGGACCCACAGGGTATGTGTTTGGTTCCTGTTGCTTTGAAGATAAACAGATTCCTGCCTGGACCAGGCTCATAGCAGTTTGGAGTCCCAAGATGAGCCAGACTGATAGATTTCATCTTAGGCTCATTGTAGCACATTACCATGCTAAGTGACACATCCATCAGCCACCACACAGGGAGCCGAGAGGCAGTAGCTAGATTGAGAAATTTCCACCCACTTCTCTGGAAAAAATAAATATCCCACATCCCCAATTATTTATTGAAATTAATCTCCCCTTTCCTAGGTTAAATGGGACCTCTGCTTTTCAAGTAGGCTCCGCTCTGTGGAATGTGTAGCTTTGTTTTTTCAGTAAGACACTTGCTGCTGGTTGCTCCCCACTTCTGTGACTCAATCCTGACTTCTTGCTTACATGAAGGACCTGGGTACTGGAGCCCTCTTGCTGCCTGGCCCTTGTCCCACCAGCCTTTTACTAAGACTGAACTTTGACTGCTTTTAACAGCTCAGCAAGTAGGGCACCACACAAAGCCAGGGCACTTTGATCGGGCATATTTATTACCATTAGTATGCATGTAAAATCATGTAAACTGCACAAAGTAAACGGTTTATCCTCCGCAATGACAGATGTATTCTGTCTTCCAGCACCTTCCTTATTTAACAGTACACTACAGATACATCTCACAGAAAGTGACCACCATAACAAGAGTGTAATAAAAGATTGTTTTTAGGGAAAGGATTTTTTGGTCCATATTTTCTAGAAAACAAATACATACTTTCCTCTTTGGCAAAAGAGGTTAACCTCCCCCACACTCTCCCCCAGTTATTTCACATAGCAGACTCAGAAGCCACGTTCACCAGGTACAGCTGAGTCCTGGGCGATTCTGGATTTAGACACATGCTTGGGGGAACATTTTGTTTTACAAAACCGGTCTAATTCCCAATTCTCTCAGCAGAAGAAAAAAAAAATCTCAATTTAGATTGAGCCTTAGTTGCTTTTCTAAGAACCCATTTCCACTAAACATTTTGTTTTCCAGAAGACCTTGAAAATCACTAACATGTTCTGTTTTGGAAGAAAGTCATGGCGAGTCTGACCTTGGCAATGTTTTTTTATCTGAGATACAAAAGCATTTGGCAGTGCCACCTTCATTTATTTCAATTTGTTGAGAGAACAGTTTGGGTTATCTGTGGAAGTCCCAGCATAGACTGGCAGGCAGTTTGAAGATGTAAATTTGCATACGCAAGGCGCTTCCTGTTTCAGAGGCCAGAGGTGAGGCAGAAGCCAAAAGAGGAGAAAGCACGTTCCTCAGGGGAGCCTGGCCCCAGGCCCAGAGCAGTGCATGTCCCATAGCCTGTGACCACGTGGCCACCCCGCCTGCCACTTAGGAAATGGGGTCTCAACACACTGGCAGCTACGGAGGTGGAATTTGTTTTAATGTAGAATGATAACTGCTAAACAAACCACCACCCTGGCGTGCTTCTCGTGCTTCAAGTAAATTTCTTGGAGAAGAATGTTAAAAATGCTTTCAGTTCTAGTATGCAAAGGAAAGGAAATGAGCCACAATAATAACAGGATTAAGTTGAAACAAACTTTCGCCCTGCTAACAGGGCACTGGCTACCAAAGCATGCCATGTGCACAGTGGCAGGCTGCAGCAGCTGCATTTTCTCACTTCACCTTTGGGGGGGGGAACTATGATTCAATAAAGCAAATTTAAGTTACCTTTCTCATTTCTGGTTCAGTACAACTCTATAGATTGCACGTCTTACACCAAAGCAGCTCAGTATCACAGTTAGAGATTGACAATGCCAGCTTGAAATTTTCATTCTTCCAGCCCAACACAACTCAACAGATTCTCGCCCTCTGTGTCAGGACAGTATCAGCTGCACAATTTTGTAAACAGTTGGAGAGGCCCTCTCCAGGATCCTATGAATTGGCTGGCACGCTCATTCACTCTATCTTGTACATACATACATACACACACACACACACACACACACACACACACACACCATGGACAGCAGTGCCTCTTCTTCCAGGAGCTCACACAGACGGCCATTCAGGGCCAACAGCAGGTTCACATTGTGTTCACTTAAGAGCAGGTGGAGCAGTGTCCTGGAGGGCTTGGAGGCAGTCTCTGGGAGCTGCATAGCCATCATTCACTCCCAGATTCATCCGCGGCTCCTGAGCATCTGGGTCTCTGCTGTGTGAGGCCAGGACACTATTGGCTTTGGGCTTGTCATAGCCCTGGTCCGCCGGCGTGGGGCTCTGGGGCTTGTGATAGTCTCGGGTCACAGCGCTGGGGGAAAATTCACCAGAAGAGAGGGAATGTTTGTGAGCCTGCCCGGCTCCCGGGACATGGTATCCGCTCTGTGCAGAGAAGGTGTGGGCCCGTAGCAGGTGCCTTTCCACGATGGGCGTGGCGTACTCGGGCTCCGTGTGCGTCAAGGGCAGTGCATACTCGTGGCCGCCAGGACGAGGAGGGCAATCGTAGTGGCTCCCAGTTTCGGGGCTTTCCCCTGTCTCGTCGGCCTCTGTGTCCATGGGCCGGAAGGTAGAGCCTTTCCTAGTGACCGTTCCGGTGCCAATCATGAGTGGCTGCTGGTAATCTGAAATCACGGAAGAGAAGATGCATCATTTGCACATGACGGAGCTAGGAAAGGCACCTCTGCTGTTTGCAGAGGGTACAGGCTGAAGGGGCAGTGAACCAACACCCTCCACGAAGGCCTAGCATGTCCTAAACGCTGCTGGAGACATAAGACGTCAGCCACAGCTGCCACACGCAGGATTTAGATAACCAGAAGGCAGAGATTGTGCTTAACCCCGGAGTAGGGGACATACTTCAGTGGTTTTTAAACTTGGTCTTGAGATGCTAAATTTTGGAGGTGGATGTAACACAGAGGAAACCAAGGCAAGTACAGCCATGAAAACAGAGCTTGTTGTGGCTAAGAACTCCAGGATGCTGGGTAGTTTGTTTAGTGAGATAGAAATATCAACTTGTGTCAGGGATCCATGACCATGGGGTGGATAATGAATGCACTCACATTTTTCCATCCCTTTCTTTCCACCAGGAACTAATCTAATACAGTAAGACATGAGGGGTCTAAAAAGTTTGTGGAAAGTGGAATCAAAAGATAAGTTGACTTTGTTATAGGGTTTTTCAAATTTGTGCACAGTGTTTTCATAGTATGCATTTTCCTATGGACATTTCAGAGTTTTCATATGCATGAGTTTCAAAACTTTTGCACCAAAATATACTTATCCTTTAATTCCATTTTCTGTGAGCTGTTTGAAGTGCCCTATACTAAGTCACTCTTAACATCTTATGAGGCCGGCTTTATTACTTCCTTTTACAACTGGGAAACCAAGGCAGAAGATGAAGTACTTCGTCCTAGGTCACAGAGTTGGCAGCCCATGGAGCCAGCAATGGACACATGCCTCAAGTATGTGCTGTTAACCAGCCATCTCTCAGGTCATGGAGGCGGTGAGTCCCTTGCTAGGAAGTTTGGTTTATTTCTTTGGAAATCTACAGACAGGCAGTGTGGGCAGAAATGCTGGTGGCAAACTGAAGAAGGAAAGATAAAAAAGTAAGAGGTTAAAAAAAAGGAGAGATGATAAACTAGGGAAGGGGAGAGGACACCTTTTGGGAACAAAAATGCGCTGTTAATGACAGGTAGGGTATGAGGAAGGAAGTGGCTGGGATCCTTCCCAGAAGTTTCACCTGCTGGACCAGAAGTTGCCTAGGAGAAGCACACACAGAGCCTGGACTGCAAAGGCTAGGAACAGTGAGTGACTTTGGACATACAGAGAAATACTGGTGACACTCCAGCAGGCTGCTTAGGAATATGGACTGGCACTAGGAGGACAGTCTGGGTGTGAGAAGTAGTGTGGACAGTCATGCAAAAAAAGATTCTTCTAGAAGCTCTGAAAACAGGCGACAGTGGTTAGGGGAGAGGGTGCACTCCCTTGCATGTTTAAGGAGTCCGAGGGATATTAGTTAGAAAGGAGGGTAGAAAGGCTGGGAGTTAAATGTGAAATGAGGACAGAGAGAAGAAAAGAGGCTCCTCCCTCACTTTACTTCCATGGAACAGGAAGATAGATTTTGCCTGGGGAGATGCTCTCCTTGTCCGTCAGGTGGCTCAAGCACCTCTCAGATTCTGATGGGTACACACATGGTCTAGCTTTGTAGCTCCTGTTCTAATTTTACAGACCTTGGGAATGTGGAAACTACAGCCTGCAGGTGTAATGTGGTCCCAGTGTCAGACGTCCAAGATGAAGTATCTTGGCATTCGGAGTGTGACATGGGCAGTCAGAGCAGAGCTATGCACAGTGAGGACCAGGGATGTCCACACATCTGAGAACTGTTTGGGACTGCTCCCCAAAGAGTAACGTACGGAAACACAGGCCAAGTGTTTAGAAACTTATAGCAAGTTCAGACAATACTTTTATATAAGTAGAGCTTTGTGTTTTATATGTCATTTAAAAAAATTTCACTGTCAATTATTGATATTTTATTTTGCACAGGTATTCTTCCATGAAGATTTAGGAATTAAAAAAAAAAAGCAAAAAGACAAATTGTCCCCCATAGCTAGTTTGGGAATCTCACCAGTCAGTGATGGCTTGTTATGGACACATCATTCTAATACTGGAAGACTTCTCTCACTTCCTCCCTTCTTTCCCAAGGCAGTGACTGTATTTAATCATCTTTCTAGTCCTTTCCACTATGCCTCCATCAAAACTTTGCTAACAGTAGCTTTAGGGCTTTAATATGTTAGTTGTACTTGAGTGTCAACACCTGGATGTCGTATGTGCCCTGCAGGTGTCAAGCGGTTGTTGAATGGACCTTTTAAGAAATATCTAAAGCAGAGAGTACAGAAAAATGGAAGACATTTCTGACATTTCAGAAGTGTGACCTCACCTGCCATGTCACTTGTGATGAGATCTAACTTTTGTGTCAACTCCTTCTCATTGTCATAGCTGATGGTAAATTCAGTTGACTGATGTCTGGCAAAGGGATACTTAATCTGCTTCCAACAGCCTGGAATAGAGGCAACACAAAATGAACTGATACATCATAAAGGTAATATATGCAGTCTATAATGTGTCCCTGGATGAGTCAGGTTGTGCTTGGTGGCTGACGGCGATGAACGTGTACTCAAAGCGCTCGGGTGTGTTGGCAGAGCACGTGAACTGCAACAATCAGCACGACCCGATCATGCTTCCCAGTGTTCATTCAGAACATACTTGTGCATCTGCCAGGTCGCCGATTACTTCTTTGTGAGGCTATCTGGGCATGGCTCTCCATGATTTGCATTGACACAGCAGTCAGGAACTGGAGGAGACCACATCCATGACGTTTAGACACTTCATAGGCAGACTTCCAAGCATCCCTGAGTTTTTGCAGGGGTTCTGGCCCACTGAACTGTGGCTAGGGCTCTGCTAACTTAGTGTTTGGAAACCCATATCCTGTGGATTCTATGAAATTGGCATGTGAGCGAGTCCTGCTTAGTCTTTTCTTCACTTCCCTACGGTGGAAAATACAGGGGAGGCCTGAGAGTATTAGACTACATTCAGGTCACTGGGGGCGGGCGGCTTGCGACTTACGACGGACAGTAGAGTGGCTTACATTGCAGTATTCAAAAGAAACAAAACAAGATAAAACTAAGGAATCTTAATAAACAGTCAGGATTTTTCTAAACAAAAGTAGGCTGGCCAGGAAAATCCTGAATGAAAATAAGGAGACAGGATACAATCAATACTCTCTTGTAGTCTTGCTACTGTAAAGTCTTGGGTTTCCTTGAAGCATGTGACTGTGCCGCAGGCATGCGTATGCTTCCGGCAGCAGAACTCAAGCATGGAATAAAACTGGAGTTGGAGTTTCCAACCAACCTGGTTTCTGAGCTTCAGTTGCTCCATACAGATTTCCTTTCTTCTTCCTCCTATCAAGAGAAAAGGTCCAGAATGAATATTTAGAAGCCAACCAGCTTTTGGATGCTTCTATGACGGTGCTTTATTATCTGTTTGAAAAGGACAAAATGCTTATAAAGTAATTCATGATCATTTCTACTTCTACAAAGCTTATTTTCAAAATAGAAGTTTTTACTTGAAAGACATCCACGCTGCTTTTCTTTGCATGAATATCTGAAGAGAGAAATTTTGGTTTTATGATATTTATATAATCAGAGAAGAAATGAATAAAATATATTTGTCACCTACTTTCTGAAGGCTGCAAAGACTCCCAATCCTGTAAACAGCAGGACCACTAGCAGCACCAATGGGACAGCGACAGAGGCGACGGTCCCACCTGGAGGAGACGGAAGCCACCACGTTACCACGGAGACGACAGTCACCAATCGGCAGAATCTGAGAACTCAACGTTGGCTTCGGTAGTCTGCAAGCGTCTAGTATGTAGGGGAAGTGACTACATGCTAGGCATCTGCCGACAGCGACAAGTGAGCGAAAGACAGTCTCCAAACAACGTCGGGGATTCCAACTTATTTTTGAGCTGGTCCTGGACCCACAGCAGAGTTCAAAACTCGGAATCAGGAGGAATGGCTGAAATCAGGCCTACCCAGTCAGGAGCAACTTGTGTAAATGATTTGGGTTTGTAGAGGAGTTGCTAGTTGGAACAAACAGCCAGCTTTCCCCAAGGGCAGATGCTGAGGACCTGCACTGCTTAGGCCCGGGGTGTCATAGTGCCACGTGGGAGCCGTGCTCTGGGAGGAAACGCAGCCTGACCATCTCGAGAAATAAAGAGCTTTCAGGGTTTCCCTGCAACTCCGCCTGCTTTAACAAGAGATCACCTGAACTGTAGCTGCAGGAGGCTTCAGACTTGCAGAAACTGCGAACTGAAGGGGAAAGTTTGCTCCTCACCCTCTCTTCTGCCATCTCAGGGAAGACAATAAAGGGATGTTCAGGAATGGGAAGTTGAGTTTGTGAAGAGAAGGAAAAGGAACAGAGATGGGAACAAATCTCATGTGAAAAACAGGCATGATTTATGAGTGAAAACTGGAGGAAAATTTAACTTACACATCCAAAAGTAGAGGAATGCTTAACTAAAAAATCATGTATTCATGTGAAAAAACTACAAAATATGAACAACCGTATTTTTCAAATGTACAATAACATTGAAAGTACACCCAATACAATGTAAAAGGGGTAATATATCCACAAGACAACAAGAAGGTGCCTCAAAAGTTCACAGAAGAGCCTGGCATGGTGGCCCAGGGACTGCATCCTCGCCCTGCACATGCTGGGATCCCAAGTGGATGCCATTTCATCTCCCAGCTGCTCCACTTGCCATCCAGCAACCTGCCTGTGGCCTGGCAAAGCAGTCAAGGACAGTCCAAAGCCGTGGGACCCTGCACCGGCGAACTAGAAGAGGTTTCTGGTTCCCAGCTTTGAATCGGCTCAGCTCCAGCCATTGTGGCCATTTGGGGAGTGAATCAGCAGATAGAAGATCTTTCTCTTTGTCTCTCCTTCACTCTGTAAATCTGACTGCCCAATAAAATTAAATAAATCTTTAAAAAAAGCTCACGGAACTATGGAATTAAGAAATGTTTATTTTCATGCAAAGAATTTCAAATTCATCTATAGTTTTTTTCAAAATATGCACTCATTTTTCATGAACTTTTTAGAAATACTCTCCTGTATAATATGCTACCATTTTTTGAAATACAGTGAGACTGGCTGCAGGGGAATATGGCATTATACATAACGTGACTTGATTTGTGTTTTAACTTTTCTTATTTATGTTTTTCTTATAGAGTTAAAGTTTAATGTTAATACGTAAATTATTTTATAATCTAGAAAAAATTAATGCATTTCCAATGCTTTTTCATTTGAATAGGTTACGCACTCACATGCTCAAAGTTCAAAGACAGTATGGAATGCAAGCTCTCCCTCCTATCTCTGCATGTTGTGGTTCCTTTCTTCTAGAGATACTCGTAAAAACATTCACTCTCCAGTCCCTCCTTTCACACACACGGTAGCCTGTTACACAGACTGCTCAATTCTTATTTGTTTTTTTAAGTTTTCTTTTTTTTGTGTTACGACACACTGCTTTTCTATGGCTGCCTTATATTCTATTACATGGATGTTCTATTATTTTATTTTTCCTTCAGATATTTACCAAGCATTTAAAGGGCATGTAAGTTTCTTCCTAATTTTTAAAAGATTTATTTATTTTTATTGGAAAGTCAGATTTATAGAGTGAAGGAGAGACACAGAGACAGATCTTTCATCTGCTGGTGCACTCCCCAGTAGCTGGCACGGCTGAAACTGAGCCAATCCGAAGCCAGGAGCTAGGAGCTTCTTTCGGGTCTCCCATGTGGGTGCAGGGTCCGAAGGCTTTGGGCCATCCTCAACTGCTTTCCCAGGCCACAAGCAGGGAGCTGTAAGGGAAGTGGAACAGCCAAGATGCAAACCTCCATCCATATGTGGTCCTGGGCTACCACCCTGGGCCCACTTCCTAATCTTTTTACTTTCAACCTTTCGATGGAAAGTTGTAGACATACATTATTTCACATGTAGAAATATCTCTGAATCATTTCTTCCAGTATTTTTATGACATAGAAAAATAGATTATGGTGAAGTAACTGCTATATTGGGTGGAGTGCCAGCTATACCCCTAACAAAACCACAAAACAGTCACTTCTCTGCTTGTGGTAATTCTCTAGAAGGGAGGAGTTTTGGGGTTGTTGCATCCCCCAGTTGCAACACCAGTGTTTGGGCTTGTTCAGTGCAACATCAGTGAGTCATTTCCTGGCAGAGAAGGGATGCTGGGAAAGTCAGATCATTAATAAGGAGATGAAGAAGGAGACAGCCAGAAGTAAGCAGCTCCCTGAAGCCAACCTGAATCCTACCTTGTGCAATCTGGCAGCCAATGAGTTCCACTTTCAAGGCTATCCTCTTGTGCCAAGTCTGAGGGACAACCCGCACATATCTGGCCACGATGGGAGGGATAAAATTGTTCCTCACAGGGTCCCGGAAGTTAGAGTTACCCTGAAACACCTGCACAAAGAAGTTAGTTTCAGCTGAAGATTGCTACAGAGTCAGTCTTTTCCAGTCTACTCACATTGATTATATGAAACCAACGCAAGAATTCTATTATATTTTAAAGATAGTTTTGATATTGTAGGTACAAAATTTTGCAAACAGAGGCCATTTTTTAACTAGGTTAATGTTATCAATTTATTTTCTACTTTAAATTCCATTTTAGATCCAGAAGCTACAATTGCCCTGTTGAATTAATTGATCTGGCAGTCTCTCTAGCAGCACAAGGCCACTGCAGCAACCTTCAAGTTCAGGTCCTCAGCTCTCACGTTTGCCATTTTTTGCATGATTCCCACTGCCCCTTATAGCAGCTATACCCACAGCCAATTTCCTATTGCAAGCATCCGCCACACTCAGACTGAAGCAACCACTTCAAATTACGTCTACTTCCCTGGTCGGTCCCAAGGACCTCAGTCTGTAGGGGAAGAGAAGAAAAGCACCAAGGTCTCCCGTGGTGCCTCACATACCCATTCCTCTTCTGTGCCCAAGGAACACCATCCCTGTCCTGTCTTGGTGAGATATCTAAAGACAGCCCAACAGCGTTGGTTTCTTTCTTCCTCCTTACCTTTTCCTCATTATTCACAATTCCTTTATAAGTCCTCCACTTTGAGTTGTTGTTTTTGAAGTTTATCACAAAACTCTTCACATAAAAGTTAAAATTTGACTGTGTGGATCCCGTGGTCCAAATTCCTTTGAAAAAGACATCATTATAAGCTAATTGTGAAAACATGCTACATATAAACATATTCTAATTGCAGCTTCTTTCCCCCCCTCTTTTTTTAAATCTCAAATTGCTTCACAGGCCAACTTTTACTGGCTGCATTTAGAAACCTATTCTCAGATGAGGCTTTTCCCACAAACAAGACACCATGAAAGCATTTTACCGCTGATGTACCAATTTTCTTTTTTTTTTTAATGATTTATTTATTTTTATTGGAAAGTCAGATATACAGAGAGGAGGAGAGACAGAGAAAAAGATCTTCCATCCAATGATTCACTCCCCAAGTGAGCTGCAATGGCCGGTGCTATGCTGATCCGAAGCCAGGATCCAGGAACTTCTTCCAGATCTCCCACACGGGTGCAGGATCCCAAAGCTTTAGGCCATCCTCGACTGCTTTCCTGGGCCACAGGCAGGGAGCTGGATGGGAAGTGGAGCTGCCGGGATTAGAACCGGCGCCCATATGGGATCCCGGAGCGTTTAAGGAGAGGACTTTAGCCTCTAGGCCACGCTGCCGGGCCCTGATGTACCAATTTTCTAATGTATGCATCCGTATTTACAACTGTGTAGTGTGAAGATTTAAAAATTTTTTTAAAAAGACATAAAGTACTTGGAGGTACAAATGAGAGACACTGAGGTCGATCAAAATCATCATTTCAACTGCAAGTCATACTGGTTTTCGGCCACCTCGCCCATGCTGTGTAAGTACCTGTTATTTTCTTTTTCTCCCCTAAGTCGATCTCCAGCCACTCTCGTTTGTGGTTGCTGCTGCTGTCTCCTGAGGCCCAGGATGGGCCTTGGTCCTGAAGTCGGGCTTGGTCAGGGGACCAGTGAACTTGTTCTCCAATCTCATTGGCCCAATGCCAAGAAGAAGAAGCTGTGATCTGTCTGTCAGCTTCCAAGGTCAAGGATTTGCTGCAAGCTGGGAAAGAAAGAACAGCAGGGAAACACTTCACAGAGTCAGAAAGTGAAAACAAGCCTAGAAATCGAGAAACTCTAGCCTAGCAACAGTCAATGCATGCTAAGGAATCACGTGCTTAAACACCGGCTTTCAAGTGGTGCGTATTTTCTTCAGACTCATCTATAGGACACTGTCTTGAGGCTGGGGCTGCTTTTCTTGACAACAAGCCTCACTGAGGTCACATCCCCTGTGGTACCTCTTGGTGCCCACTGCAGATTTTCCTTTTGGTCCTTGAAATTTACCCTGATTTCAGCAAAGCACAACATGTCCAAAGGTTTAGAATGCTGAAGTTCCTTTTTTGTTTAGGTTTATTTATTTACTATCGGAAAGTCAGATTTACAGAGAGGAGGAGAAATAAGAGAGGCAGATCTTCAGTCCCCCTAGTGGCCAACATGGCTGGAGCTGATCCGATCCAATCGGAAGCCAGGAGCAAGGAGCTCCTTTATGGCTTCTCACATGGGGGCAGGGTCCCAAGGCTTTGGGCCATACTCTGCCACTTTCCAAGGACACAAGCAGGGAGCTGGAAGGGAAGTGGAGCAGCCAGAACATGAACCCATATGCAATGCCCACACGTGCAAGGCCAGGATTCCAGTTACTAGGCTCCCGTGTCGGGCCCAGTTCTCCATTTAAGAAATTTGGAATTAGAGAAAAACTCTACTCTGCATAAAAAGGAGAACCTTTACTTCTTTTTTTAAAAAAATTATTTATTTGAAAAAAAAAATAGTTACGGAGAGAGAGAAAGATCTTTTGTCTGCTGGTTCACTTCCCCAAGAGCTGCAACAGCCAGAGCAGGCCAATATGAAGCCAGAAGGGAGAGACATGTGGCAGGGGCACAAAGGACCTGGGCCATCCTGAGCCATTAGTAAGGAGCTGGATTAGAAATGGAACAGCTGCGATTTGAGCCACTACCCACATTACAGGTTGCTGCTAGGCTGCCATACCTGCCTTGGACTTTTACTTTTTAAAGGGAGGTAGGACTAGGTCTTCTATAAATTAGCAAATGTTAATTAATGTTCACCCACTAGACCAAAACTGTTCAGGCCATGCGAGAGTAGCCATTCAAGGCCACACTTGTTGAACACAGATGACTTAATCATATAATTCTTCCCAGAAATATTTTACTTTATATTAAAAGATATTTACATGGAATACATTACATGAAGGAAGAGATAAAAGGCCTTTATTTTATATATTCATGTTCAACAATATTACTTAAAATAAATATCAGGGCCTTGCGCCAAGGCCTAGCAGCTAAACTCGTCGCCTTGAACATGCCGGGATCCCATATGGGCGCTGGGTCTAATCCTGGCAGCCCTGCTTTCCATCCAGCTCCCTGCTTGTGGCCTGGGAGAACAATTGAGGACAGCCCAAGGCCTTGGGACCCTGCACCTGTGTGGGAGACCAGGAAGAGGTTCCTGGCTCCTGGCTTTGGCTCGGAGCCACACTGGCCATTGTGGTCACTTGGGGAGTGAATCATTGGACGGAAGATATTTCTGTCTGTCTCTCCTCCTATATATATATATATCTGACTTTGCAATAAGAATAAATAAATCTTTAAAAAAATAAAATAAATATCAGTAAAATCATAATACTTATAAAACATTTTCTTGAGGTCAGATGTGGTAGCATAGCAGTTGAAATCCTCGCCTTGCATGTGCTGGGCTCCCATGTGGGCGCTGGCTATAATCCTGGTGACCCCATTTCCCATCCAGCTCCCCGCTTGTGGCCTGGGAAAGCAGTTGAGGATGGGCCAAATTCTTGATACGCTGCATTCACATGGGAGACCCGGAAGAAGCTCCTGGCTCCTGGCTTCTGATAGGTTCAGCTCTGGCTGTTGTGGCCACTTGGGGAGTGAATCAATGAACAATAGATATTCTCTGTTTCTTCTCCTCTCTGTATATCTGACTTTCCAATAAAAATAAATAATCTTAAAAAAAAATTTTTCTCAGGGCCAGTGCATTGGCTCAACTGATTGGCTACCTCCCCCACCCACCAGCACCAGCATCCTGTATGGGCTTTGGTACATAGCCCAGCTGCTTCACTTATGATCCTGCTCACTGCTTATGGCCTGGGAAATCAGCAGAGTATAGTCCAAAGCTTGGGATCCTGCATCTGTGTGGAAGACCTAAAAGAAGCTCTTGGCTCCTGGTTTCAGATCGGCTCAGCTCCAGCCGTTTCAGCCATTTGGGGAGTAAACCAGCTGAAGGAGGATCTTTCTTTCTGTCTTTTCTTTTATCTGTAAATCTGCCTTTCCAATAAAAATAAATAAATCTTTAAGAAGAGATTTTTCTCCAAAAATCTAACATAAAGGAGTTTATTTTAAAATAAACATTCTTTCATTTTTCTTTTTTTTTTTTTGTATTAGTTTTAGAGAGACCTTAGATTATCAGGGAAAATATTTGCTGCTTAATGTGAATTATTTTGCATATTTTTTAAGTTGCAGAAAATATGGTAAACCCTTATGAGAAAGAAAATTGCTTTAACTGTATTATGTGAGAAGCATGGAGGAATAAAATTACCACTGAAGAATTTTAGTACATTTGCATAGAAAACATGATTCTTACCATTGGAAGTAAACAGAAATCGCTTGTCTGACAGGGAACCCCTGAAAGAGTAAAGACAAACACGAGCAGTGAGTTGCTTTACTAGGTCTTTCTGATTAAGTATTTATTTTTAGGCATTTCAAAAAGGGAGAGAGAAGGAGAGAGAGAGAGCTTCCATCAACTGGTCCCTTCCTCCAATGCTGACTCACAACCTTCCGCTGGAGCCAAGGACCAGGTCCAGATTGTTCACACTGAGAGCCGGGCCCCGGGTATATGAGCATCACTTGCTCCTGCACTGGTCACACATCAACAGAAAGCTGCAACTCTAAACCAAGTCAAGACCCGAACCCGGGCTCTGTTATTTGGGATGCAGGCCTTCCAAATGGTAGCTTTACCTATTGTGCCACAGTGCCCACTCCTGATTAGATCTTAATGATGGACACTTGCTCTGAAAGGGCTCTCAGGACCTTCCTGAAGGTGCTACCTCACGTGAGCCTTGAGATACTCCTGCAAGGTCACTGTGTTTATCTGCATCATCTGGAATTTACAGCTCAGGAGCCTTGGGTCCTTGAAGGGTAAATAACCTTTCTAAATCCATGCAGGTGACAAGTGACCAGAGCTCTCTCTTCTCTGAATTCAAATCCTGTGCTGTTTCTGTCATGCCATATCTCTTGGGAAGGAGTGTGTCTCTGTAACTTCAGGAACAACTGTACATCTTGAGCAATTAATTCATGGATATTATGGTGTGAAACATGCTTTGAATGAAAAATTTGGAATTCTCAACATTTTACTTTTGTGCAAAGTATAAAGAAGATGTCACTATTGTGTTGAGTTGTTTGTAGGTGATTATACTTTTAAATGTTTCACTCTGAATTAGATATACAATTATTGACAGAGTTCTAAACATAAGGCCAGTGAGAACACCAAAACGCATAAGAGTGGAAACAAATGTCTATCAAAGCTCTTTTCAGGAGTAACAGGCAGTAAATCTCTTCAATGAACTTCTCTCTTCTACATTCATTATCTACTCTCAGGCATACAATTCCTAAGCCTTGTTCTTGCGCAGTAAGGTTCCCTTAGAATCCCAGTGTTACATGTAATGCAGATGCAAATCATTCCAAGAGGAGAAAATCCAGATCTACAAAGGTCATGGGACTCCACAACATTCACAAAGTTGAGATGAGTGCCCACATCTCCTGCCACTTAAAGAAAAGTGTATGTTCTTGTGAATAATATTTACATTTTTATTAAGAGTTATTCAGAAATTCCCTTTTGTCTGATTTTTCCATTCTCTCCCAAGTTTCTGCCCAGGATATTGTACTTGCAATGTGGTCCAAATAATTTCTGTTACAACCACAAATGAAACAAAAATTTCAGCACGTAGTCGTTGAGATGCAGTACCAAAGTATGATTAACTGTGGCGTTAGCCCGAGGAGAGCATCCAGGGAAGGCAGGCCCTCAGCTCCCGGCCTGGCTTTCCTCCTTTATCAGCTGCAACACATTTTCCCATTTCACTCCACTAAACTAAGCATAACGACTTAGTGAATTTCATGGGTTACAAAGCTTCCTCTTGGACAAATCAAAACACCCTGGGGATGTTAGTGTTCTGAGCCCCACATACATTGGGGTGTGCAAACTCAACCAAATTACAGGAATTAGGATCCTTCTCGGGTGGACTGAAGCATTCCAGAAAAACCTGATGTCAAAGAAGGAAATGCCGCCCCTCTCATGGCCAGAGCCATCATCCTCTGCATGAGGTCAGTCCCTCTTCCTGACTCCATTCTGGGCTCTTCATATCAAGGAAGTGACCTGACCCGGGCTGAGTCCCAGAAGACCCTAGGATATTTCCTTTTGGGACCCCTTTTCCTCGGCGGCAATGCTTCCTTCTGTGTTTTTTCCTGCACATGTGTGGGAACATAAGTTCAATGACCGCACGGGCAGTGGCTTCCCCCAAAGTACACCACGGATTAAAAACAACCACTCCCTAAAGAGTTGGGAATCTGGAGGAGAGGAAAAAGCTGCATGACACGCAGTTTATTCTTTGCTCAAAGCAAAACGTCAGTGCAGAGTTACAGAGTGAAGAGGAAAAAGATCTTGCTGTAATTCTGAACTTTCTGTCTACTCCTAGCAAGACAAAAAGCCAGCAATTAGTTAAAATTACTGTATAGAGTACAGAGCCAACTTTGGCAGGGCTCAAGCACTGGAGTTATCACTACCTATTGCTTCCCAAGAAGCATCAGCAGTGAGTTGGGTAGGGTCCAGACTTTAAGCTGGAAATATGGACATCCCAAACAGTGGCTTAACTTGCTGCAACAGAACACAAACCTCTTCAAGAAGGAGTTTTTAATTGCTACATCATCTTCCCTATAGAGACGGCAAACACGCAGGAATATTTTCCCCAGGTGACAAACCCTTGATATCATATCACTGCTTACTTTTCAAAATGATGTGCTGACTAGGTAAACCATCATGGTTATTTTTCACTGGGAAATCAGAGCAAAGTACTTACCCTCTTGAGAGCACACCGTTGGCCAAGAGTCCCTCATATCGACTTAAGCCTTTGCGCTGAAGCACGCTAATCTGGCCCCCCAGTTCATCCGCAATGATTCCTGCATGGATGGCGGCTTTGCACAGTAAGGAGGTCTGGAACACAGCAACACTGTCCGTCAGAGCTTGCTGAAGAACACTCTTAAAACACAGCAGGAAAATAGGATTTTGGACATTCCTTTATAAAGAAATGTTAACTGTTTGAAGAGATATTTACTCTGTTTACATATCTCATGATGTACCCATGAACCAAATCATCACATACTATCACAGTCTGATGAAATTTTCAAAAAATAAGTGAAAATATAGAGTGGGCATTCTCCATCGCATTTGTGAGGTGGTTTACACTAGTGGCTCCTCAGTGAATGACGGCCACGGGTGTACTCCTTTCCCTCAATGACTAGGTCATGTGGCTTGCTTTACTGTTCCGATGTGGTCCAGCCAACTGTCAACAGATGTGAGAGAAACCACCTGAGACTCACCAGGCCCACGTGACTGGCTCTGTGGTGGCAGCCGTGGGAATGATTCTAGACTACAACAGCCGGAGAACTTCCACCCAAACGGCTCACCCACAAACCCATCAGTAAATGTACAGCTATTATTCAAGCCACTGCATGTTACAGTGCTTTGGTAGGCAGAAATAGAGAATAAATCTGGTTTCTAACACGTTCTCTGTCAGACACATATATTAAGCATCACTATACAGGGTGATGCTATGGGGTTATCAATGAAGACACTTAATAAGGCATCAGAACTAAAATGATGACAATAACTAAATGCAACAAGAAAAGTTAACACAGGTCTTAGAAGGATGAGTGTCTAAGAGTGCACAGCGTCCATCTCGTTTCCACATGGGTATCTGCCCACCCTCCAGGACTTCATCCCACGCTTCTGCGGCTTGCTGGTTCTGTGACAGATCAAGCAGGCACAACCGACTGGCTGATGCACATGCGGTTGAGACTGAATTGGCTCCACTAGGAAGTGGGGTTGCAGCAACAGCTGGAACATTCCTGTGGAGGTAGCCCAGTCTGTTGTTCCCCAGCACAGACCTGTGTGGGAAGGTGGAAAGGCAGAAGAGCAAACGACTGAGGGGCCAAGGAGACTATTAGTCAATTTGAGCTGGGTTCCACTTCTCCCTAGCAGGGAATGCTAAGGAAGGAAAACGCAGCTCATGAAATTGTGTGGTTCGAGAGCTGGACTTGCGGAATTTCTCCTGGTGTTCGTGTCAATGATATGTATTTCACCTGCAATGGGAAATTTCTTCCAGGTGTTGTTATAACATTAGCAGGGTCCAAGAGGTAACTCACATTCCATAATTAATGTGGTTGCAACAAAAGTGAGAACATTTGTGTTCTTCAATTAAAGAGTTCCCGAATCTCCTAACCAGTTGACGTTTGGCAAAATGAGCTGCACAACAGCTGTTATTCTAATCAGAAAAGGAGGAACCTTTCCTGACAAGAAAAAAAAGTAGGAGAATGCCAAAGCATAAATACAGATACTGCCCTTCCTGATTCTGGCGAGAAAAAGAATTAGAAGAGAAAAAACAAATAGTGCTCATTAACAAAGATGCAGCTTGTATTTTAAAGTTTTCCTGAATTCCCTTTCGTTAAAAAGTTTTTTGAACTCTTGGGGTACATGTGCAGGAGTCAGTTGTAAAACACAAAAAACAAGATCCTATTTGTTTAAATTCCTTGATCTGTCCTTGCACACTGGCTCTCTGACTCCACTAGGTACTTGCAGGTCATTTCACTGCTTCTGACCTGGCTTCCCAATTCACCTGCACAATGAGAAAGTCAGACTGAAGGCATCTGGTTTCCAATCTGAAAGTTTCACTTGTGATTCCAAAAAGCTTCCAAAATACCTTTCATAAACTGTACAAACCTGTCTCCCTCTCTAAGCCCCAGAATGAAAATAAATCACTCGTGTGGTCTGCTCATCAGCGATTCCCACTGTTCCTGGGATCACTGTCTCTTGGAATTCTGCTTGGGGATGGGATAACTGGAACCCTACCCTGGCATGAAGTCTGTGGACTTGGTCAGAGGACGGATTCAGAGGTTAAAAACAGATCTGCCAGAATTAAGGGTCAACAAGCGTTCTCATTCCCCATAATACCCAATATTGAGAGAAGTCAACAATGTTTCCTTTCTGTGGAATTCAACTGTTTGTAGCTCATACTGTTCTATAACATTAAATGAAGGCCACAGGACTCATCTCTAAAGAATAGCCACTAGATCTGGCTATCATGTTCTTGTAATAAAATTGCCAGCATTAGAAAGTACTATTTCCTTTTGAAAAAAAAAAATCACTTCTTTATCCATCCATTTAAAGTTGGCGCTTATTTCAGTTGTGGCTCTTTTGCTATGAAAATTCTTTAATTAAACTTGATTTCTAAAAATTCTCTCTTAGATAGCATTATATCTATAATTTGATTTTCTAGCTACTCTTAAAGTCTCACTAGAATATGAATACACGAAAGCCAGATCAGTGGCCTGTGTGAATACATTGCCTTAAATACAATTTATTAATTCAAATGAATTAATAATGAAGTAACTTAATTGTAGTAAGCATTCAGGAAAGGGAATGGGATGGATATCTGGAAAAGGATGCCTGCATGATGTACGCCATCGCACACGGATGGCATGGCATGTCTATACAGCATTCCTGACTCTGGCTAACCCACAACAGGCACACAGCATGAAGTATGACCAAAACAACTCTCTGAGTTGAATCCTAGAATTAGAGAAATTTCTTAACTCTTCATTTGGGAAAAATCAACCTGTATTTAAAAAGTTTGACAATGTGCTATATTTGCTTCTAGGCGGCATTCTATATGTATAACCTCTCCTTATCACAACACTTTTTGAATATTTAGAGTTGAATTACAACAATGAATTTACTTCAGTGATCTGTTCACTTAAAAGTAGACAACACAGTCAACAGGCTTAGGAGAAGATATCAAGAGAAAAAGTATTCTGAGAGCAGATGAGGTTGATGCTAAAGAGAAGCAATGACTCCTTGCTAGTACTGGAAGCATCCACCAATACAAATGCCTAACTCATTAGTGACAACCAAACAGCATCTTAAGAATGCAAAATCACCTTTACATTGCCTCACCTTGCCTGTGCTCCCCAGCACTCTACCCCACACGTAGAGGTTATCCTCAATAAATAGTTGTAATATCTATACCTGACATCCCAGTGGCCAACAACACACTGTTTCTTGAGACATCCCATTTTGTGGTGCTCAGTTATTCTCTACATCCCACGGAAATGGCTTTCCTCTGATCTTTACCTGCTGATCTTTTTCTGCCATTTGGAGCAAAATTGAATGAACAAATGCCTTCTCCATAAAATTTTGTTGAGATATTCTTCCCTGACACAGAGGGTCTATTCCTTTAATAGCTCCTCTTAACTGATTTTACAAACTACATAATTTTGAACTGTAGAATATGGTTTGTCTTTGGAAAAACCCTTCCAAAAGAAGACAGCTGAGTATATGTCCCAAGAAGAAGGCACTGTGTGGGGCCCACTTGAAGATAACGCCTCATGATCCCTTCCTCCTCAGTGGGAAATTTTCCATTGTGAAATACCCTGAGGATGGACATAAACTGTGATGTTCTTATAACTCAGAAATCAAATATGGCATGGGATGATAACGTTGCATGAGATTTAAGTTGTCTTTGAGGAAGAAAATAGACTCATGGCAAAGGCCTGAGGGTAGCTGCCAGCTGAAAACCAGGAGGAAAACAAGATCCTGCCTCCACAACCCACAGAAACAGAATACTCCCAATACTGCATGAATTACTCTCCAGTCAAGTTCAGCTGAGCGTGCAGACCTGGCTGGCACTCTGACTGCAATCCATTAGACCCTAAGGCAGTCCCATCCGTGCCATGCCCAGACTCCTGAAAATGAAAGATACTGTCATAAGTAGGATAGTAAATATCACTAATAAAGTAAAACAGTAACATGGGGGGCCAATGTTGTGGTACACGGAATTGATGTTGCCTGCAAAGCGAGCATACCATATGAGCTCTGGTTCGAGTCCCAGCTATTCTATTTTCTATCCAGCTCCCTAATAATGTACCCCGAGAAGGCAGTGAAAAGCACTTGTGCCCTACCCACATGGGAGATTAGAATGTAGTTCCTGGATCCTGGTTCTGGCTTGGCTCAGCCCCAGCACTGTGTCCACTTGGGGACCTAGCCAGGGCAGGGAACATTCTCTTTCTCTCCAACTCTGGTTTTCAAATAACTAAGTGTATATTTAAAAAATGTAAAAAAGTAACGTTTAAATAAGTATAAAAAAAGAAAGTATTTTAAGTATGCAACTTTATGGTTAATATTATTCAGTAATAGGTATCTAATACACACATATCAACATATACAAAAAAGGCAGCAGTAAGATTCTTTGAAGCTATTAACTTTTTCCTTTTGAAAGATTTTATTTATTTACTTGAAAGTGTAAAAGGAGAGAGAAGGGCCAGTCCGCAGCCAGGAGCTTCTTTGCTATATCCCACATGGGTGGCAGGCGCCCAGGATCTTGGACCATGTTCCACTGCTTTCCAAGGTACATGAGCAACAGGCTGGATCAGAAGTGGAACAGCCAACAAAGATGTATCATGCAAATGTACAAATATCCCCTACAGATAAAATCATTCTAAAAGCAAATGATGTAAAACCAGTAAGTGAATCAAATAGGTAACCTGTTCTCCAGCTTTTACAGACCATGAACTCAGGTCGGCCACGGGAGGAAGCCATCTGCCCACCAGCCTCAATCAGCCCATTCAGAAAGAGACAGGGTAGCCCCCACTCTAAGGAAGGACTACGGCATTTCCATTATTGTACATAACTCCCAGGTTTCTTGTACAGAACAGGATAACAGTAAAGGATTTCAATTACTAGAGGATAAAAACTTCAAGTTTTTATGTCTCTTAAGGTCCTAGAGTGTCAAATAAATCTTCAAACTGAAGTAGGGAAAGCATTAAGATGAAAACAATTATAGGCCAAGTGGATATTCTGTGTCAGTCTTGTAGAAAAAAATAAATCAATGCCTGAAAAAGGAAATGAAAAGCAGAAAAACAACAGAATTTGCAATTGACAGAATTAGGATGTGCTAAAAGCAAACATTAAAGTCAACTTTTATTCCACCTGCCAGGAACAATAATCAGTGTGTAGAATGTATTGATAAAGATTTTCCCCAGGCCTGAGGACATAGGTCAGTAACTTTTACAGTAGTTCCATCATTATATAGATCTTCATATTTCTAATAATTCAAGTCAGTGCCCATAAATGAGGCTATAAAACCAACTATTTTAAATAGTAACACATGTTTTAATAGAAATCAGATTCTATTCTAGGGATCTGGAAACTGAAAGAAATGAAGGACTGTGTAATTGAAAATAAGACAAACAGTTTAGAAAACTGATTTTCTGGGGCCAGTGTTGTGGCCTAGTAAGCTAACCCTTTGTCTGCAGTACTGGCATCCCATAAGGGTGCCAGTTGGAGTTCTGGGTATTCACATCTGATCTAGCTCCTTCTAATGCACCTGGGAAAGCAGATTAAAACAGCCCAAATGCTTGGGCTCCTACGCACATGGGAAACCCAGAAGAAACTCCTGGTTTTGCCTTGGACCAACCTTGGCCATTGCAGCCATTTGTAAGTGAACAGTGCCAGCACAATTGCTCAGTGGCTAAATCTTTGCCTTGCATGAACCGGGATCCCATATGGGTGTTGGTTTATGTTCTGGCTGCTCCACTTCCCATCCAGCTCCCTGCTTGTGGCTTGGGAAAGCAGTAGAGGATGGCCGAAAGCCTCTGGACCCTGCATCGTGTGGGAGACCTAGAAGAAGCTCCTGGCTTTGGATCACCTTAGCTCTGGCTGTTGTGGCCATTTCAGGAATGAACCAGTGGACGAAAGATCTTTCTCTGTCTTTCCTCTCTGTACATCTACCTTTCCAATAAAAATAGATCTTTTTCTTAAAAAAAAAAAAGAAAGAAAGAAAGAAAGGAAGAAAGAAAAGAATGTGTATGAAAGATTCTCTCACACTCTGCTCTCTGTGGCTCTGCCTTTCAAATAAACAAAAATAGATCTTAAAAGAAAAAAGACTGAGTTTCTGAGAATCAGTGTTTCTATGAGAGCAATATGTGTAATCCAGGTAGTCTCATTAGGAATCAGAATTTGGGAAAGTAGGAGGTACTATAGCAGAGGGGAAGATGCTTCCACTGACTCCAAAAGCAGTGTTACTGTTTTGTGATGTCAATATCCACGCCTTTGACTCTATTGCAGGAACCAGCTCTCAGTGCATGCTAAAATAAAGAAATAAACTACAATGGAAAAGATGCTAATCTATGACCCTTTATGAATTGCGTGGACTACACAGATCGGGTATTAGAGAGGCCTCTGTTTTTCATTCCATTTAGAGTATACTTAATTGGAAATGCTGTAAATAGAAATGAAAGCATGGCTAATAGGGAATAATAAGCAGGAATTTTGCAGCTATCTAAAATTGTATGTCTCAGGTGGCTTGATGTTACAATGAATTCAGGCAGAGTAACCAACACATAGACCTTTTAATCCCCTCCCTGCTTTAATCCTTGATTACTTACATCTCTATAACCATCTACCATATTCCCAGAAACATCTCCTGTTATATCTTTACAACCAGGCGGGCAGAATTTGCTGAAAAAAAAAAAAAGAAAAAACATATATTTTATTAAAGTATACATAGGCAATATGTTACATAATATTTATGTTTTAACAGTTTTTAAACATATGGAAATCTCTTAATGATAAATCAGAAATACGATTTGTAAAAACACAAACTGATACAAATATTAATCTGAAGGTAAATTTTACACAATCATTATTTGTTTTATGCAAAGATTCACCATAAGTTAAGCTATATAATGAATGTCCCTCATGCATTTTACTTAATTCTGACATTTACAAAATATTTTTAGGAAAAAGAGGAAATTTCTAAACATTACATAGAATATGACACAATGTTTCCAGGGAGAAATGTTCAAAATACTTCAGAATGTATGTTTTCTATGGATGAAAAAAAAAAGACTACATTTTCCACTTATAATAAACAGATAAAGTTATCAATGACATAGATGTTTTACTCTTTTGATGTATTTAAGTCTCCAAAACCATTTTATGCTTACAATATATCTCAATTTTGATTCACCACACACATGTTCTACCACTACACGTAACTTTTGGCTGTCATGTTGGACAATACTGATCTACATTTGTTAAAATTACATTTGCTATTGCGGAAAAAAGTATCTTAAAATCAGGACTTCATTTACTCAACAGCTACTGCTCAAGTAATTCTCTAGAAAATATGTCAAGCATATGATATGCTTAAAAAATCTTTGTGGGGCCCGGCGCGGTGGCGCAGTGGTTAAGTCCTCGCCTTGCACGCCCGGGATCCCGTATGGGCGCCGGTTCTAATTCCAGCAGCCCCGCTTCCCTTCCAGCTCCCTGTCTGTGGCCTGGGAAAGCAGTCGAGGACAGCCCAAAACTTTGGGACCCTGCACCCACGTGGGAGACCCGGAAGAGGCTCCTGGCTTCGGATCGGCATAGTATCGGCCCGTTGCGCTCACTTGGGGAGTGAATCATCGGACGGAAGACCTTCCTCTCTGTCTCTCCTCTCTGTATATCCGCCTTTCCAATGAAAAAATAATAATAATAAATCTTAAAAAAAAAAAAATCTTTGTGCCAAGATGGAGTGATCCCAGCTTTGTCACTACCTAGCTAATTGTGTTGTCGTGGAATTGCACTCAGTCCCTCATAGATTTAGTTTCCTAATTTCTACTAGTCTCAAAATCAATACAATGAAAAGGATGGGATGGCTATATACATCCATGAAAAACACGCCTCCTTAAAACAAAGCCCAAATGTTCAACAACACTGACAGCTTGGAAGTTGAATGCACATGCACCTGTTTATATATATACATATTGTTCTTTATTTGGTTTGTTTAAAAAGAGTGTACCAATCCAAACAGATTCCAAAATAGCACTAGTTTCCACTCTGTTTCCTCTCAGCTTCCTCTTGCTGACTTGGCACACAGTATGTGTAACAACAACTAATTATCAAAACGACTCAAATGCTTTCTGATTTTTTCCCCACTGACCTTCTGGACTCCTAACATTGCAGCGGTAATCAAAAAAATTAAGATATAACAATAGAGGGGAGTCCTACTACAGGGTCACAAATTCTTAGAGTCCAGATATTCCAGAATTCATACATTTTCTAATTACAGAAAGAAAAATGTCAGTGATATATATATGACAGACACCTCACACATGAATCCAAAAAACTGTCAAATTAATGAGTAGCCATGTTGAGAAAGAGACAAAGACTAAATAACCTTACATTGATTGGTCTAAATTTGGTGTCAAATGAATTTAAGGCGCTATTCAATATTGCCATTTCATGCGTTACAAAGGCTTTCAGAAACTATATTTCAGCATTATGAATGAGAAATTCTAGTCTTGTACTAATTGGGACGCCTTAAGGTTAACAAAACAACTGTGAAACTGGCTACAGTGGTGGGCCTCAGGACAGGGCTTCTCATGCCTGGATCCCACACGCCAGCCACCATGGGCACGTGGTGAGCTGTCCCCGGGCCTGTCTGGGCTCCAGGGCTGCTCCCTTCGGGTTGAGTACACCAAGGGGGGAAAGTCTCCGTGACTGGGTAGGTTTGGGGTGGTGAATGGGATTGGCAAGGGGCGCGACCTTGGGCCTGGGGGTTTAAACATCCAGCAGCCTTCCGGCTGCTGGTGGGCCTCAGGACGGGGCGTCTCATGCCTGGATCCTAGACAGCAGCCACCATAGACACGTGGTGAGCTGTCCCCTGGTGGCCAGTGCGCTATTTGGTGCAAGGCTCTGCCTGCTGGCCTCCTGGCAGGGAGCTCTAGGGCTTTGGTTCTTTGATTCGCTGCTTAGGTAGCTCCAGGTTGAACCGACTGTGTTTCTGGGATGTGAGTCAATCCTAAAGATTCCCAATGAGAGTAACTCTTCCTTTGAAGAACTTGTAATCACGTAATAATGATGAGCACCGAACACCAGTTCATGCAAAAGCTAAGGCTTGGGGCTTGTCCAGCAGGATATCCTATTATCTGATATGATGATGGATCAGCAGACGGGTCAAATTAGGCAGGACCATGACATTAACTAGCACTCGAGAACCATATCCAGGGGTAGATTCTGTGGGTTATGTGTGGGCTAAACCCTGTGGAAATTCTAGCCCCATAGGTTAGCTCAAAAGTTTGGGTGATTATGGACTAAGCTAGATGTGACCAAGGAGCTTGCCATCAATCACAGGTAAAGGAACCCACAACAGTCTGGACTGGTTAACACAGCAGCACCCGAATGTGCATCCTGAATAGGGTGTGGGGTGGGTAGGGCTGCAATGTTCACCAGCTCATACATGGCCAATTGGAATGCCAGACTGCGCCAGGCACTGGCCTAAAACCCATTGGCATGTATGAGAACTGGGATGGGGAGCGGATCAAGTGGAGAAACTTGAGAAACTTCCATGGCAAGTCATAGCTCCTGCTGTTGAACACCTGGTCCAGACCTGGGTGTCGGACAAGCTGGGCAAAGTAGCTCCAAAAGTTGGTTAATGTGTAAATTGGTAATGGAACGGGATGTACTGGGCAGGACTGAGCAAACCTTAGCCTACAAGCGAAACTAAGAACCGACCCAGCAACTGCAACCACCAGCTGATCGGGGCAATGGACTGTGCCGGGCCCTATGCTACTAGAACATGCAGGAATCTGGACTGGGAATACCTCAAAATTTCTTTGAGGATCTCCCCAGTCGAGACACCGGACTCAGAGTCCTAACCAAGGAAAGACAGGACAAGTCAAGCAACAACCTCAGCTATCTGTTGGCAGCAAACTACTGGGCAAATGGAGACTCTAGAAGGGACTGTGTCAATCAATGGACTCTTCAACGACCACATCGTGCTTGGAGTGGCGAGACTGGCAGCGATCCATGAATGGTGAACTATTGGAACCACTTGATCGAGAATCTCAGAGCATGCCCCACATCCGGGATTTAGGGTGGGTGGGAAACTGGGTGGGGCTTCTTCCTCTATATCCCCCTTTAGGCCTTGAACCTTTTTTACCCCAATTAAATTTGTAAGGATTGTCAAAATTAAAAAAATAAAATAATAATAATAAAAAAATATAATAAAAAATGAAAAAGAAAGAAACTGGCTACCAATCACATGATCTGACACTGTATTGCCATCCTGTACCCTTGAGTAAATCCCTCCTCTCTAGAAGTAGCCGCTGATTCCTAGAGGCTCTATCCCCACAGGGACTGTATACGGTAAGGGTGGAAAATCCTGGGAATGCTGGTCAATGTGACCATGGAATGGACAATTAACATAGTTAACATTACAGGGCAATATTGAATTATTGCTCATTTTCATTTTTGCTTTTTTCTACTTGACATAATATTAGTTATCAATGGAGTTAATTCTGGACATAAAATGATCTCATTTAGAATGTTCAGATGTCTGAGGCGGTTAGGATCACAGACTCTTATTACTGATTCCCTGGGATAGACATATTACATGTTAAGTTGCAAGTTGCTTATTTGCTTTGGGCCTTGGTTTTAACAGAACCCACCTTGTAAGCATGCTGAAACACTCACATGAACCACTTCTGTCCTGAGAGCAGACAGTGGCATACGACACTGAGACAGCACTTTATGTCATTACAGGTGTTGTTAGTGTCGTTATTGGCAATCAACCCTAGAACGGCATTTTTCCACCAGGGGTGATTTTGTCCACCAGGAGATATTTGGCAATGACTGGAGACCTTTTTGGTCTTCTCAACTGGTCACTGCAGCATGGAAATCAGGGATGCCACTAACCCTTCAACAATGCACACGGAATTCATATAATAACAAATTATTCAGACCCAAAGTTAATAGTGCCAAGGTTGACAAATTTAGCTCTACTTTACTTCATATTATAAACAAATGAATCTCAAAATAAGCAGTTAAGTAGAGTTTCCAGTTAAAGTAACACTGGGCTAAAAATTTCATATCCTTATTCTAGTAGTTTCTATTTTTTTGTTGTTAAAGATTAGCTTTTATTTTTTCTTGGAAAGGCAGATGTACAGCAAGAGAAAGATCTTCTGCCTGCTGGTTCCCTCTCCAAATGGCTGCAACGGCTGGAGCTGAGCCAATCCGAAGCCAGGGACCAGGAGCTTCTTCCGGGATTCCCATATGAGTGCAGGGTCCCAAGGCTTCGGGCTGTCCTCAACTGCTTTCCCAGGCCACAAGCAGGGAGCTGGATGGGAAGTGGGGCAGCCAGGATTAGAACTGGCACCCACATAGGATTCTGGCGCGTTCAAGGCAAGGACTTTAGCTGCTAGGCCATTATGCTTATCCCTTATTACCTGCCATGCTGCCTCTCCCCCGCTGCCCCCCTCGCAAAAAAACAAAAACAAACAAAAAAAAATGAAACAACAAAAAAACTAACAAAAGCCAATGCCAAACACTAGAACTAGCTAGGAATCAAAATGTACTCAAGAATCATTTCTAACTCAGGGCTCACGTAATTATGGCCCATGGGCCAAAGCTGGTCTGCTGTTTATTTTTATAAATAAAGTTTTATTGGAACATAGCCATAATCATTTACATAGTATCTATGTTTGCTTTCTTACCACAATAGCCACAGAGACTATGAATAGATGCTACAGAGCCTGTATGACCTGCAGAACCTAAAATATTTACTATATGGCCCTTAATGCCCAAAGGTTTTCTGACCCCTGGTGTATGAGAAACCTGTTCAAATATTTTTTCATCAGTACAACACAAAAGTTGAAAATCAGTTAGACTAAAATTAAGTACTTTATCTGATTTTTATGACAAGGAGAACAAAATGTTTGGCATTGTAACTGTAATCCAATCAGCACATCTTTATTTACCTGTATTCAGTCGTCAAATAATGGTTAGCTCGTTCCAAACACGTTATTAAATCTGTCATTAATAAAGATAACCGTAATTAGCAGATCAAATGGAAATTAGGGAACTCATGTTCTAAAAAACTTTAAATAAATGGAGTAACTTTATAAAAAGTATTTATTTGGTATCAAGTTACCTGAATTTTTTTTATATTAACAAAAACCAATAATATTATCGTGGTGTCATCACCAATGATGGATTTTCAAGTTAATATCCAGTGAATAACAGAATCTATTTCCACTAGAAACACCATCAACTGTTGGTTACTATCCCCTACATGCTTACAATGTCTAATCTTCTTAAAATAGGAAGAGAATTTTAAAGACCTACCATGGTTCAAAGAGAACGTTTCAAGACATATAATATTTCAACAATCTACTCATGAACATTGTGACGGAATCATGATTCCCTGAGGACACAAACGGAGTTTCAGCCTTGATCAGTGGGGAGAAAGCACTCAAGGAGAAGGTGTCCTCTGGAATTAATCCAAGTGGAATCTAAGACAAGCTGGACCTCAGGGCATTCCAATCAACCCAGTATAGTTCCCAAGTTATTCTACACTCCTTATAAAAGTTCATTCTTCCCACAATTTCTTTCAAGAATTGTAGGAAGCAATATTGGCCATGTTGGTAAAAAGACAAATGAATGGCACACACCTTTGCTGGGATATTTATGCCCGACAGCACAGAGCCGTTCTGAGCATGTGTGTGACCTGGAGCAGACATGGAGCAGGTTGCATGGTAGTTTTTCTGGCCAGGACAATGGTCTGCACTGCATTCTCATTAGTGCTTAAGTTTCCTTTCCCTTTTCTTCTGGTCAAATTTCAACTCTATAGTTAGTATAATTAGTACAATATGACAGTGGCTTCCTCATCCTGCCCAAACTGCTTGGTGCCTCTGCAATGGTCTTGGGATGGGGGTGTGGATTACATTTAAACGGCAATTAAAAGGTCTGTTCTTACCTGAGCTAGGGAAAGACTCCAGGTAATAGTTGGGTCTTAAAAGGGTCAGGAGGATAACCCCAAAGATGTGCTCAGGTTTCTAGTTAAAGTGAGATCAATCTTATCCCATGTGAGTCCACTGGTCAACTTAACATGTTATAAAATGATTCCAAGACCCAACTACTATACAAAGATACTGAGTTCCTTTCTCCTTAAATATTTTTCTGAATCTGAGACCAGTTGTGTCCTGCGAAGTGCTAAGTAACAACAGCAAGTCTGAGTCAGGGTTTATACATTTGTGCTGATTCATCTGCTGTACCTGGATGGTCACTGCTGGCATAGGATAGCAAAAACCCCCGACCAGAAACATGGGATCCACTTGCAAAGCGAATGGTCACTTCACTCGAGTTCAGCAAGAGTTCTCTGGGCACCGTCATACTTCCACAATATGGACCTAAAAACAGAGCACACCTGTAGAATGTTTCAAACTCTACATGAGCACAATGAATTGATACAAAGCGATTTTTTTCCCTTAAAGGTCAAGTTTACCACATAACACGTATGTAAGGAGTAACCTTTGCCCAGTAGAAACTTGGCTAGTCCCTGGCTTTGAGCATGATTTTATGAGCCTGCTTCTAAAAGTTCCTGAATGCACATTATGAAAAACTTATGCATGGATATAAAAATCTGTATCAAAACAAACATAGTTTCCATGAATATTTCCAAATATCCTCAAGTTTCTAAGTCAAGACAGGAAACAGGCTTACTTTAGAGAAGCAATGCTGGAATTAGCTAATTAGCCAAGTGAACAACTAAAGAGATCGTTATTTGTTTTATTTATTTACTCATTTATTTAACTTCTGTTTTTTTATGAAGACTAATGAAGATCAAATGTATTAGGTAGTAAAGGGAACTTTTTTTTTGGATTTATATTGTTTTTATTGGAAAGTCAGATATACAGAGAGGAGGAGAGACAGACAGGAAGATCTTACATCCATTGATTCACTGCCCAAGTGGCCGCAACAGCCATAGCTGCACTGATCCAAAGCCAGGAGCCAGGAACTTCCTCCAGGTCTCCCACACCGGTGCAGGATCCCAAAGCTTTGGGCCATCCCTGACTGCTTTCCCAGGCCACAAGCAGGGAGCTGGATGGGAAGTGGGGTCGCCGGGCTTAGAACCGGCACCGATATGCGATCCTGGTGCATTCAAGGTAAGGATTTCAGCAGCTAAGCTCTAGTAAAGGAAATTTTATCACAAGATATTCTAGAAACCTGCTAGTTTTTCTCACAAATCCCTTTTTTTTCAAGGAAAACACTGAATTAAGACTATCCATAACATTTTAGAACTATTATTCACACTCAGTACACACAATAATTTCTTCATTACAACAATGTCTGGCTAACCAGATAATTTATCTTGATTTGTAAAATGAAGAATTTGTAACAGCAGAATGTTTCCTAAAGACCTTTGAAATACTGTTGTAGAAATTATGCAATTGAAGGTATAGCACAGTTTCTAGAAAAGGTTGTTTTCAGTGGGCAAAACTCAATTTGCAGCTTACAAATAGCAACGTGGTGTTGGTGCTGTGGTCTAGTATAGCAGTTAAAATAGCATTTGGGATGCCTATATCCTGTTACAAAGGGCCTGGCTGCGGGTCCCTGACTGATTTCCAATGCAATCCACACTTTAGGCGGTAGCCGGTGATGGCCCAAGTAATTGGACTCCCCTCCCTCTGCCCCCGTTCCTGCAATCCACCAGACCAAGCAGGCATGCCCACTTGGGGATTATGCCAGTGGGTGCAAGATTCTCTCTTTCTCATTTCTCCTTTGTCACTTCCTCTTTCGAATAAATAGACAAGAAGTTAATTAGTGTTAAGGTTAATACGGATTTTTATGAATTTGTTGCTCATAAGCATGGTATAAAGGCAATTTAGACTAGATCTATTTTTATATAATGGACTAGATGATAAACAGGTTTACAAAACTGAAGTAATTCACACTGCTGGACTTGATTTTTTCAAGTTATTCTCAGTTCGCTTCATGCATATTTGAAATGTCTCTGTTCTTTGCTTCACAAACTCAAGAATAATAATGAAATAATTAGTAATTTGCTATTGATAAACTAGAATATATCCTACCAAGGTTTATATTTTTATTTACCCATTTCACCTGCCGCTCTCCTCTCCAAAAGAAAACATGAATCTCCCTCTAAATTCACATAGCATTCAAATGAATTCCAATATAAAGTATGAGGTAATTAAGTCTCAGTTGATTATTGGTCAGAACTCGTTTGGATTGATTTTGAAATTGTCCACATTTTACAAATGGAGATGAGGATGGCTAACAACACACTAAGCTGTCATACAGTATGTACAATTACCCAGCTGCCAGCGCATGAAAATGATAAAGGTCTTCTTAACTTTCATCCTCTCCAAGTCATGACAGACTTTTAATATTTCTGGAAGCCCTGTGTGGTGGCACAGCAAGCTAATGCTCCACCCTGAGGTGCTGGCATACCATATATGGTCTTCACTTACTGTCTCAGCTATTCCTCTTTCCATCCAGGTCTCTGCGGCCTGGAAAAGCAGCAGAGGATGCCTAAGTCTTTGGAACCCTGCACGTACTTGGGAGGCCCTGAGGTAGTTCCTGCCCCCAGCTTTGGATCAGCTCAGCGCTGGACATTGCAGCCAATTGGGGAGTGAACCAGTGGATGGAAAACCTTATCGCTCTGTCTATCCATCTCTTTGTAAAATCTGCCTTTCAAATAAGATTAATAAATCTTGAAAAAGAAGAATAATTATAAAGTAAAAATTTCTGAAAGAAGCTCAAAGCAAATGTAAATGACATACTCTTTTAATAACCCTTACCCCTTCACTTTTTTAATAATGGAATACAAATAGACAGCTGCATCCTAGAGGGGACAGAGCCTGCTCTCTGATACAATATCCCCATAAGAGCTGTTTTGAGGCCAGCACTGTGACTTAATCATAATGTCACTGCCTGTGGCACTGGCATGCCATATGGGTGTCAGCTCAAGTCTTGGCTGCCCCCATTTCGGCTCCAATTCCCTGCTAAAGTGCCTGGGAAAGCAGCAGAGCATGGCTCAAGTATTTGGGCATACACAAGGGAGTCCTGGAGGAAGCTCCTGGCTCCTGGTTTGAAATGGTCCCAGCTCTGCTGTCGTGGCCATTTGGGGAATGAACCCAGCAGATGGAAAATCTCTCTATGTCTCTCCCTCTTTCTCTCTAACTCTGACTTATAATAAATAAATAAAACTTAAAAAAAAAAAAAAGAATGAGTTGTTTTGCTGGCTTTATCACAACCATTACAACGGCAAGAGGGAGTTTTAGTCTGGGAGGAAGGATGGGAGCTGAGTACTAGTTTCAACATTGCCTACAGCAAAACATCCAAATTATGGCCTGTCTGAAGATTTGATGGATTAAGACTCATTTTCACAGTCTAGAAGTTAATAACAACATTCCCACAGTTAAAAGGGAAGAGTCTAAACTAGAAATCTATGACTGGCAATGAGAGGGGAAACTAATGAATGGGGAGCCACCCTCATAGTCTGTCCCAACCAGTGTGCTCAGGTTCAACGTAACTCCTTTGAGAATGCTATCTTTTTGTGTGTGTGCAAGTCTTTTTCTACTTCACCCTTCCTCAAATATTTTGCTTCACTGATAGGAACCTCCATCCAGGGCTCTGTGTTGCGGCTTCTTGTGCCAGCATTTTATTTTAGAGTGCCAATTTGAGTTCCAGCACCTGTTAATGACCCTGGAAAAAATAGAGACTATTGGCCCAAATGCTTGGGTCTTTGCCACTGACAAGGGAGGACAGGATGGGGTTCTAGGCTCCCCGCTTTGGCCTTCACCCAGCCTGAGCTCTTGGTGCCATTTGGGCAATAAAGCAGAGGATGGAAGACCTGTCTCTCCTCTTCCTCTCTTTTGTCATTTTCTTCTCAAATAAGTGAGTAAACAAATCTCACAAGAGAGATAACCACCATTCTGACTTTAAAAATAGCTAACTCCACCATGAAACATTTAAAAATAAGGATTTCACTGGGAATCCAAAAGAGAGCTCAGTGACTTCTCACCTGAACCATGGTTTTATTCAAATCTTGGGTTTTTTATTCAACACCTGGAAGTGTCCTTGGATTTGCAAATCTGCCTCAATTCACATTCAGATTGAGCTTTAACCTCTCTCTTAAAACAGGATCTACTTTGACATGATTGTATTATAAACAGCAGTGCTGTGATTCTATAAGCATTTGAATGCGCTCTCCCAAATTTCTACCTTCTCTCTCTTCTCTCCTGTGAGGCAGGGTCTTTCTTACTTTTCCCTCCGAAACTGTCGTCAGGCTGTGCACAGCAGTTTACCAAGTAGGGTGAAAAATCAAGAAAAAAAATAAATGCCTTTACTTTGTGTAGAATGTAACTGGCAGGCATGAACTTTGGGAAGAATCACCAATGCTTCCACATGGAATAGCCTTTTGGCACTTGGCATCAGACCTGAGATTAAAATCTTGCAGACAACAGAATAATTCCTTGGCCAAAAGGAATAAAGGGCCAGGAAGCACAAGAGCTGCCTGCTTCCAGCACAGCAGGCCAGTTCCTCTCCACACATGCCCTGTTTGGGGCGTCGGCTCCGTTAGCAGCTGAGAGGGAAACCCTCTATTTTCCCATGCGGGAATAAAGGAAGGCTGTCCTACAAGGAAGAATAAATTGCCCTACCCCAAGCCAAGCTTGGTATCCTCTGGCTTTTCTGGCAGACAGACAATTTGTGTGGCAGTGCACAGGACTTCTCCCTTTGCCTCAAACTGTCAAGACTGGGCTTCCAAGGCAATGAGACTTTGGTTAAAAACTGTTTCAAATTGTTTCTGATGAGTATGTAGTTTTGACCTTGACAATAATAAAACCAAATTAATAGTCTATCTATGAAAGTAATGAGCCTAAAAGCCCGTATACATGCTATAAAAAATTAAACTCCTTACCGTAACCCCATCAACAACGGTCAAAAACATTGGGAAAACAAGTCAGAATCTAACTTGGGAGAGAGAGATCTGTCATAAGATAAAAAAGAAACAACAAAAATCTTCCTGAAAACTCTGAACCTTGTGGAGCTCTTTCTGAACCCTGCAAGTCAGTTCCCAATGCAGATAAGAGCTGGCCCTACTGACCTGGTGGCCTGCCCTGGGAGAGCCGCTGCTGGGGCTAGCCGGAGGGCACACTCGGCTGCCGGGACACAGTTCTGCCAGTGCTCAGGGCCACGCTGATAAAACAGCCTTCTGAAATGCTGAAGCAGCAAACACCACTTGTTTTTTCCAAAGCAGTCAAGTGGCAAGGTTTGTCCTTGCTTGCTAATTGCAGTTGGGTCATTGTACAAAATTACAGAATTTTCAGGGCCATTTTCTTTGAAAGGGAGTGAAATTAGCATAAAAAAGGGATATTCCAGGACT